GACAATCACATCCACTCTAGACAAGTAGTAACCTAAACCACACCCATGCTATTCCCAAACACACCCCTGCTGAAAAAATCGTGGATACACATCCCTGATTTACATTTTTGTGTTAGTTATTTAGTCACCCAGTTAGTGATTTTAGCAGGCATGATTATAAGAAATTGAGGTGTGACGTCATTAAATTTATTTATCATGACTGTTAGCAAAAAGAATGTGTGGTTTCTTTAAAAGAGATTTATCAAGGCAAGTTAAAACTTTGTAACTGCCCAAAATGCTTTATGATGTACAAAGTTTTAACTTGTCTGGCAAAATCACTTTTGAAAAATCATACATTCTTATTTTTGCTAACAGTAAAATACAATTAATGACATCACACATGTCAGCTTTAAGAAATTCCTATTGCTTACAAGGAGCTAACATTCATGTGATCAACATTCATTATTATTTGACACATACATATAATGAAACAAAACAAAACAATAATTGAACAAAATGTCATATTAAACACTTTTAAATATTATTTACCCATGGCTTTGAGTTCGCATCTAATAGTGGATCCTTCAAGAATGGATATGATTCAACAATCATAAGTGCAATCTTTACACGTTCTGTTTTGCTGGGATGGTTTGTAAATCTCAGCACACTTGTGCAGACATCTCTGATGAGCTCGTTAATCAGATTTGGGTGTAAATACTCTGTTTTCAGCCCAGCTTTAACAGCATAAGAATACTAAAACACAAAAACACTTGTTGTGACCTGTCTTCCTCCCTCACAAAAAATGGTTAGAAGCTATTTTAGGGGTAAGATAATGTCAGAAATTTAGAAATACAATTATGGTTTTGAAATTTGTAAAATGATAAATGAAATGGCCGTTGAGAGACCACCTCTAAAACAAAAGCTGATCATTCGTCAGCTCACCTCTAAAAGTACTTAAACCTTAATAACTTTTGTAAGCCTTCAACTTTAACCACCCACTTAAGCATAATATTCTTACTGTTCTGTATAATAAATGAGCTGCTGTTAGTGTATTGTACTTACACGATTTGGAATTTTGTAGTTCCGTGATGAATCCTTAAACAAGTAAAATATTACTAAATTGCAAATTACATTTTTAGAAGTACTTCAATTTCCAGTTATTGAACAAATGACAGTAAACTTGCATACTTTCAAGGTACTGGTATTTGCATTAAGAGCATTTGGGCACTAAAAATTACAAATGAACTATTAATGAATGTTCACAGCAAGTTTAAGTAGGAACGAGCTTAGGAGAGGGGTGTGAAGGAGCAGGACTTGTGGTGATGCTGTTACTATTATCACTACAAAAAAATACAAATAAAACCAACAATAGAAGTCTCATAATATTAATAAAGAGGTAATAAGATTTCCACAAATGTCTGACATAATATGTTTAGCAACAAGTTATCAAAGCCTAATCTAAACTAGAGGACCCTCCATCCCCAATACAGATCCATTGTGGATCATGACTATATGTATTATTATATGTAATCATGACTATATGTATTATTATATGTAACCATGACTTTATGTATTATTATATGGAACCATGACTATATGTATTATTATATGGAACCATGACTTTATGTATTATTATATGGAACCATGACTATATGTACTATTATATGTAACCATGACTATATGTATTATTATATGTAATCATGACTATATGTATTATTATATGTAACCATGACTATATGTATTATTATATGTAATCATGACTATATGTATTATTATATGTAATCATGACTATATGTATTATTATATGTAACCATGACTATATGTATTATTATATGTAATCATGACTATATGTATTATTATATGTAACCATGACTATATGTATTATTATATGGAACCATGACTATATGTATTATTATATGTAACCATGACTATATGTATTATTATATGGAACCATGACTATATGTATTATTATATGTAACCATGACTATATGTATTATTATATGTAATCATGACTATATGTATTATTATATGGAACCATGACTATATGTATTATTATATGGAACCATGACTATATGTATTATTATATGTAATCATGACTATATGTATTATTATATGGAACCATGACTATATGTATTATTATATGGAACCATGACTATATGTATTATTACTAAAATGATCAGCAACAGAAGTGCACCAACCTGAATTGGTGTTACAGGTAAGCTGTCACTCTAAAGAAGAAAAATTAAACCAGCATATCATTATGCTGCAAATTTTGATGAATGCACATGGTGCACACAATTTAACAATGATTTGGGTTTGTAAACAACGTAGGTATCGTGAGCAAAACAAGCTGTTTTCGTCGGTGTCAATGAATAAAAGCGTTATATATGTGAGAAATGTCCTAAAATATTTCAAAGATAACTGTTATGTTTAAATTGGGAGAAATTTTCCACATAATGTCAAAATTTTAGCAATGTCTTCTAGGTTTTCATAAAAAGCGTCTTACTAACATATAAATATTTACAACAACTACCTTGAAATTTTCATTATCCACTCCATTCTTTTTCAATAATGTGGACAATTCAGAGTTGGTTAAATCATTAAATGAAGGCATTGCCAGACGTTCGGTGCAAATGTTACGACTAGACTACAAAAACGACCAGCAAATAAGTGAATTGACTAAAAAAAATTGTTACTATATTGGCCACTACGGCGATTGCGCGTGCGCGTCTGGCTTGCACAGTGATTCACGTGCAAAGCATGTGTTGATCTTGTTCCATATGAAGTGACTCAAGTGACCTTTAGGAAAATGGCTTGTATTTGCTCACTGTGCCTATCGAGCTTTTCAACGCTGGCATTGTTACAAAATCATTCAAAACGGTACCACGAATGTGAGGATAACTTTCACGTTATTTGTCAGGCATCACGTTGTGCAAGTATTTATTACACCTTCGAAGGCTACAAATCTCATTTGCGCAGAAAGCATGCAAATATATTGAAAATTTCATTGATGAGAATTCTTTCCAAAATGGTAATCATGAAATAAATATGAGCGAAGACAAGGAAGATCGCGATAGTGAGCAAGGAAAAGTTAATGGCATTACTCAAGACGATGATTATGGTGGTGCAAACATCGATATATGCCACAAAGAGGAGAATATCAAGATGATGAACGCCCGGTTTATGTTAGAAACTAAAGAAATGCATAAACTATCTCAAAAAGCAGTAAATACTATCGTCAGAAATACTACTTCCATCGTCCAAAATTCCCTTAAATTAGTGAAATGTCGTCTGTTATCATTGCTTGAAAATGACGACATGCCAGACGTTTGCGAATTGCTGGAAAATGTATTCGTGGAGGAAAATGTCGTCACCAATCCTTTCCTGGGAATGGAAAGCAAATGGCAACAAGATAACTTTTTTAGAGATGTTATGGGAGTGGTTGTAAGTTTTCAGTAAATTAGACCTATAGATAGAAATTCATACTTTGTTTATAAAAGCAGTTATCTGCCATGCCAAAATTTTTTTAAGTTATTTTAATTGTCATTTTAAATCTGTTTTTCCTGAAGGAACCAAAACAAAGTGTTTTGGGAATCACCCATGTTCAGAAAAGAATTGTGTGGGAAGAAGAACAGTCCCAAAACAGGATGAAGTCATGGAAATTCCTCTTCTTAAGAGCCTAGAGCAAATGCTGCAAGATCCAGCCATATTAGATCAGGTTACTTAAACATAAATAAACTAGTGACATATACAGCATGCTGTTCTAGATGTAGCAGCTGACTGGCTTTTCTGCCCAAAGTTATGTTTGTTAACAAAATTTTTTCGCCATTTGGGCACTCAAATGCTTCAATTTTTTTAACAAACTTATTTCAAGAATATAAATGGTATATGTACTTATTTAGGTCTTGTTGCCATTACTTGTTGCCATTACCTGTTGCCACAAGAAACAATGTTGTTATACCTGTTTCAAGCATGCAACTAAGGGAAAATCAGTATGATTACCTCCAACAACAAGTTAACCCTCTTGAAGATGATGGGAATAATGGCATTGAACATTACTTGAAGCCACTTGATATTGTTGAGAGGTTTTTAGAGGCACGGATTAATGTTGACGAAGTTTAACAAATGAAACAAATGTATTTTAGTAAAATAATGCAAGCCAAAAATAAGCTCATAGATCAAGAATTTAACATTTTTTTAAAAACTGTCAGTTCTCTTTCCGTTTAAACAAAACTATTTGATATTTTGAAAAATAATAAAAAACAACTTTACACAATGTCACATGACCATGATGTGCTTTCTCTCATTATGCTTGTAAACTCTTCTGCCAGTTCTGCAAAGCTTTCAAAGGATGTTGGTAGCTCTAGGGTTGGTCCAAATGTGTGGGCAATAGGCCGTCGTGAAAAGCCATGAAGGTTTGTTAATGTAATTTCAATTAAATCACATGTCAATACATCACTACCAGTTAAAAAATGCAGAAATCTTTCAATAGCCTTTTTTTCCAATGATTTCACATATCTTTTTAGGAAATCCAAGCTCTGCCGTTCAGCATCAGTACTCACACTAGCAATAAAAAGCTTGTTAACCTTTTTGGCTGTTGGGTGTTTTTCTTCATATAACTGTTCAACTTGCTGAGGTGTTGAAAAGATGGAGTTTGCATCATTCTGAAGAGTTTTTAAAATTGGCGACCAACAATTTGTGATGTATCTGGTCTTTTGAATGAGTTCCAGGTGTGCAAGTTCAAGTACTATGGAGGCAATGTTCTCCTTGGTGGGGGCTTTATAGCACTTATTGGATGACAAAAAGTGCAATAGGTCTTCATCATTACGATCTAATTCACAACTCTGCACTTAATCTAGAATCTCTCCATCGTCTGCTGGCACGTAACAACAATATGCTTGCAGTAGAGATTCTTTGCCCAAACTTTCTTCACCAAACAAGCAGCAAAGAATGAAGAATTGTGACAGCTGCACAGGAAAATATTTGGCTTTTTGATATCCAAACACTAAAACTCTGGCAATTGCTTGCCATTCTGGTTTTTGAAGATTGTGTCGAATGTGTGGCGTTTTCTCAGTTCCACCTGCACTAAGTGATATAAAGAATTCATGTCAAAAATTTGTCAGAACATTACGCAGCACACCTGCACGTTCTCCTTTTTTTGGGTAGCCATTTGCATTTATAGCTGTGATGTTCAACCTGTGCTTAAAAATTTCTGGATCTTTAAAAACATGTTATATATCATATTACTTTTATATAAACCCTGTATCACCTATTATTTCATTCATATTGAAGATGGCATCATGAGATGTCGAAACATGTCTATTTTCAAAAAAGTTGTCGTGTATATTAAATGTGTATTGGCAATAGTGCTTTTACGAAATTATGGAAAAAAAGAAATGTTTACAATAGCCAACTATAGCTTTAATCATACAATAAACATAAAAATAAAATTTAAGAAAATACTAGGCATATACGTATTGTTAAGGTGATGCTATTCATGTTCTATGGCAAAAAATCACTTTCATTCATACATTCTTTTACCCCCTGTCAAAATACAGTTTATGAAAATTTTTTCCAGTCCTTTAATGGCCTTAAATTTCATTGAAGCTTTATTATTCATCTGATCTTAATAAGACCTCTAGAGGCTGGTTTTTATATGACGTAATTCCTTGTACAGTAATTCACTGCAGTGGCTGAATTCTGATAAAATATCTCAAGTGAAAACTAGCCTTTATTACCACACAGAAAAAATTGTTTCTAAATCTAACAGTTAAGCACAGACTAAAATGAATCAGTTTTCAATCAGATCATGTACACGTGTCCTTAAGTAAACATGTATTTTTTATGGCAAGCACTTTTTTGTCCATTAAAAAAATTGTAGTGATTCATCAATAAAAATAATAGCAGCATAAAGTTTAATGTAACTAACCTGATGTATCCTGTACACAAACTGCATGAAGATCAGTGGTTGACTGTAAAGAAGTTTGTGCTGTCTCTAGAGGCAATGAAAATGGAGATTGTGCTGTAAAAAATTGTCACGATTCAGCAATAAGATAAAGCATAGTGGCAATATAATGTTTAATGTAACTAACCTGATGCATCCTGTACACAAACTGCATGAAGATCAGTGGTTGATTGTAAAGAAGCTTGTGCTGTCTCTTGAGGCAGTGAAAATGGAGATTGTGCTGTATCTTGTGACAAAGCCAATGGCTCTGGATTGGCATAGGTAGAGCTTATTGACATTTGCGCATCCACAAACAAATCAGGTAAATCTTTATTAAAAATATAAGAGAAACTTCACAAACTATTCCTGTCATGTGTATTTAATTAAATTTCGCCATTAAAGAGAATGACCTACCATCATGACTTTTTCTTGTGCACACATTTTCCTACATTGACAGCATAAATAATTTATACATGATGAGTATAACAACATCAATTGTTTCATTTTTCCAATCAAGAGCATGAAAGTGGTGCATCAACATTCACCCGTTCAAGTAAAACAGCTGATGCAGCTGTTAAACCATGATTAAACTGAACAAGTTCTATTGATAAGACGACAACAGAAACTCATACCTGATGCTCAATTATGATCTGTTTGTTTGGTCGCACATACACTGGTTTACTCTAAAAGAGCTGTTGCAAAATTGCTCCACCAATGCCAATCTGACCATAAGCCAAAGATGGCACAACAAGAGATATGTGCATCGACATTAATATTTCAATATCCACACCAGCTGGAATTTTGTCAGCAAAAGCTTCCATTATCGCAATTTCCCACTTGTGCAGCGTTCATTGCCTTGGTGAATCTGCAGCCTGAGATCATGTGACCCCGTTCCATAAGAGCAAGGCGTGGAACGACAGAAGCATTCGGTCCTCCCAGCAAAATAAGGTCGCGCAAGAATGGTCTATTATCTATAGCACCAGTCCTTCTTGGATGGGCGCTATAGCACCAGTCCTTCTTGGATGGGCGCACCAGTCCTTCTTGGATGGGCGCACCAGTCCTTCTTGGACGGGCGTTGTGTATTAAAATTTCGCCTTGTGACAAAACTCCTCCTCGGCACATTTTATTCGTAGTTGGTTAAAGGGGCGGATCTAGTTTTCAAACATCAGTCATAAAACGTCGGAGGCGCTCCGCACCTGGGGGGGTCTAAGGCATTCTCCCCTGAGAAATTTTGAATTTCAGAGCCTTGAAAATGCCGTTATTAGCGTTTTAGAGCAATACAAAATGTATTTTGTGGGCATCGTTTTTGCGTAAAAACAACACATTTTGCTTGCGTTTTTTCAAAAAAAAAAAAAATGAAGTGAACAATACTTGAATGTTTTGCCAAATATTTAGGCTCATTATCATACCAGATATGTGGCTCATTAGCATGTCTAGGAACGTAAAATTTATTTTACAATAATGCTATTCCAAAACAGATATAGTCTTTAAAAATTTCTACCAAGTTGTCAGGCATTAGACCCCCCTAGAGACCCCCATTCAAACCTCTATGTAATGAGTTAAGTTAGAAATTTGGTACTACAAGTGACAGTTCATAGATATAGAAAAGCTCAGACTTCAAACCATGCAAGTTTTTGTAACCCTTAACCCATCTCCACATACAGTGCCAGCAAATTCACCTTTTGAGAAAAAACTCAAAATTTTTTTCTGCCAAAGATTAAGCAAATATTATCAGAGTGAAAATTTCCAATTAAGGACAGCTTCATGCCATAAATGTTTATTATGGGATAAAAATACTACTAGCTACTAACGTATAGCAGATTTTTTAAAGGAGGGAACATATCAACAACTTCCACTATTCTTCTGACGTCTTCCAAGACAAGTGATCTTCTTGAAGCATAGCATGCAGCCATGAACTCCTGAATTTTTTCATGATCCTTTTTAGCTGACTGCCACTTCTTTTTTATTTTTGATACCACTGCTGTAAGATCTTCACTTTCGCACGGCTCGGGAACGTTCGTCCAACAGTGACTGTTCCTTTTCTTTGTTGATTTGCCTTTAGTTTGCGAGACATTGGTACAGGCGTGTTAGATCTCTTTATTTGCAATTTTTTTAATCGGTTATAGATTTTCATCTCAATAGATCCCTATAAAAGAAAGCTTTCATTTCAAAGTAGTAAAAGACAAGTAAATTTATTTTTATCATTTACAAAATAGAGACGCAAGCAGCCCATTAAAACAAAAACGTATATAACAAGGTGATAATGTTAATTTGCATCACATAGTTTGGATTAGGGAATGGGATGGGAAGATGGGTCTCTTCAAAATACTAAAGCCTAATTAACATATATTTGTATATAATTGTAGTAATTCTATCGGCGTTGAAGGTTCATATCAATTATAAGTGTATGAGAACCCCCGTAGTAATTGTTGTAAGTAATTTAATGGCAAAAAATGTGGAGTTCAGTCAAATCAAAAGCAATTGTGATTAGAGATAAATGGAGGATGACACTATAATTGGTAAAATCTACGAACGTAATAAATATGTAACAGAATTTAACAAAAGTGTGACATCCTTTGGCAAGAAATACGTACTCACAGAAATCACATCCACTCTAGACAAGTAGTAACCTAAACCACAACCATGCTAATCCCAAACACACACCCCTGCTGAAAAATCGTGGATACACATCCCTAATTAACATTTTTGTGTTAGTTAGTTAGTCACCAAGTTATTCATTTTAGCAGGCATGATTATAAGAAATTGAAGTGTGACGTCATTAAATGTATTTGTCATGACTGTTAGCAAAAAGAACAGGTGGTTTCTTTAAAAGAGATTTATGGAGGCAAGTTAAAACTTTGTAACTGCCCAAAATGCTTTATGATGTACAAAGTTTTAACTTGTCTGGCAAAATCGCTTTTGAAAAATCATACATTCTTATTTTTCCTAACACTAAAATACAATTAATGACATCACACATGTCAGCTTTAAGAAATTCCTATTGCTTACAAGGAGCTAACATTCATGTAATCAACATTCAATATTATTTGACACATACGTATAATGAAACAAAACAAAACAATAATTGAACAAAATGTCATATTATAAACACTTTTAAGTATCATTTACCCATGGTTTTGAGTTTGCATCTAATAGTGGATCCTTCAGGAATGGATATTATTCAACAATCATAAGTGCAATCTTTACACATTCTGTTTTGCTGGGATGGTTTGTAAATCTCAGCACACTTGTGCAGACATCTCTGATGAGCTCTTTAATAAGATTTGGATATAAATACTCTGTTTTCAGCCTAGCTTCAACAGCATAAGAATCCAAAAACACAAAAACACTTATTGTGACCTGTCTTCCTCCCTCCCAAAAAATGGTTAGAGGCTATTTTAGGGGCAAGATAATGTCAGAAATTTAGAAATACAATTGTGGTTTTGAAATTTGTAAAATAGCTAAAGAAATGGCTGTTGAGAGACCAACTTTAAAACAAAAGCTGATCATCCATCAGCTTTCCTCTAAAAATACTTAAACCTTAATAACTTTTGTAAGCCTTCAACTTTAACCACCCACTCAAGCATAACATTCTTACTATTCTGTATAATAAATGAGCTGCTGTTAATGTATTATACTTACACGATTTTGAAATTTGTAGTTCCGTAACCAATCCTGAAACAAGTAAAATATTATTAAATTGCAAATTAGATTTTTAGAAGTACTTCAATTTCCAATTATTGAACAAATGACAATAAACTTGCATACTTTTGGGATACTGGTATTTGCATTAAGAGCATTTGGGCACTAAAAATTACGAATGAACTATTATTGAATGTTCAAAGCAAATTTAAGTAGGAATGGGCTTATGAGAAGGGTGTGAAGGAGCAGGACTTATGGTGATGCTGTTACTATTATCACTACAAAAAAATACAAATAAAACCAACAATAGAAATCTCGTAATATTAATAAAGATGTAATAAGATTTCCACAAATGTCTGACATAATATGTATAGCAACAAGTTATCAAAGCCTAATCTAAACTAGAGGACCCTCCACCCCCAATAAAGAAACCATTGTGGATCATGACTATATAAATTATTATATGTAACCATGACTATATAAATTAATATATGTAACCATGACTATATGTATTATTATATGTAATCATGACTATATGTATTATTACTAAAATGATCAGCAACAGAAGTGCACCAACCTGAATTGGTGTTACAGGTAAGCTATCACTCTAAAGAAGAAAAATTAAACCAGCATATCATTATGCTGCAAATTTTGATGAATGCACATGGTGCACACAATTTAACAATGATTTGGGTTTGTAAACAACGTAGGTCTCGTGAGCAAAACAAGCTGTTTTAGTCGGTGTCAATGAATAAAAGCGTTATATATATGAGAAATGTCCTAAAATATTTCAAAGATAACTGTCATGTCTAACTTGGGAGAAATTTTCCACATAATGTCAAAATTTTAGCAATGTCTTCTAGGTTTTCATAAAAAGCGTCTTACTAACATATAAATATTTACAACTACCGTGAAATTTTTCAATGACTTCGTTATCCTCTCCATTCTTTTTCAATAATGTGGACAATTCAGACGTGGTTAAATCATTAAATGAAGGCATTGCCGGACGTTAGGTACAAATGTTACGACTAGACTACAAAAACGACCAGCAAGTAAGTGAAATGACTTAAAAAATTGTTACTATATTGGCCACTACGGCCATTGCGCGTGCGCGTCTGGCTTGCACAGTGATTCACGTGCAACGCACGTGTTGAACTCGTTACATACGAAGTGACTCAAGTGAGTTTTAGAAAAATGGCTGTATTTGCTCAATGTGCCTATCGAGCTTTTCAACGCTGGCATTGTTACGAAATCATTTAAAACGGTACGACGAATTTGAGGATAACTTTCACGTTATTTGTCAGGCACCACGTTGTGCAAGTATTTACTAAACCTTCGAAGGCTACAAATCTCATTTGTGCAGAAAGCCATGCAAATATATAAATATGAGCGAAGACAAGGAAGATCGCGATAGTGAGCCAGGAAAAGTTAATGGCATTACTCAAGACGATGATTATGGTGGTGTAAACATCGATATATGCCACAAAGAGGAGAATATCAGGATGATGAACGCCCGGTTTCTGTTAGAAACTGAAGAAATGCATAAACTATCTCAAAAAGCAGTAAATACTATCGTCAGAAATACTACTTCCATCGTCCAAAATTCCCTTGAATTAGTGAAATGTCGTTTGTTATCATTGCTTGAAAATGACGACATGCCAGACGTCTGCGAATTTCTGGAAAATGTATTCATGGAGGAAAATGTCGTGACCAATCCTTTCCTGGGAATGGAAAGCAAATGGCAACAAGATAACTTTTTTTGAGATGTTATGGAAGTGGTTGTAAGTTTTCAGTAAATTAGACCTATAGATAGAAATTCATACTTTGTTTATAAAAGCATTTATCTGCCATGTCAAAATTTTTTTAAGTTATTTTAATTGTCATTTTAAATCTGTGTTTTCCCTGAAGGAACCAAAACAAAGTGTTTTCTTAATCACCCATGTTCAGAAAAGAATTGGTGTTGGAAGGAGAACAGTCCCAAAACAAAATGAAGTCATCGAAATTCCTCTTCTTAAGAGCCTTGAGCAAATGCTGCAAGATCCAGCCATATTACATCAGGTTACTTAAACATAAATAAACTAGTGACATATACAGCATACTGTTCTAGATGTAGCAGCTGACTGGCTTTTCTGCCCAAAGTTATGTTTGTTCAAAAAATTTTTTCACCATTTGGGCACTCAAATGCTTCAATTTTTTAACAAACTTATTTCAAGAATATAAATGATATATATACTTATTTAGGTCTTGTTGCCATTACTTGTTGCCATTACCTGTTGCCACAAGAAACAACGTTGTTCTACCTGTTTCAAGCATGCAACTAAGTGAAAATCAGTATGATTACCTCCAACAACAAGTTAACCCTCTTCAAGATGATGGGAATAATGGCATTGAACATTACTTGAAGACAGTTGATATTGTTGAGAGCTTTTTAGAGGCAAGAATTAATGTTGACGAAGTTTAACAAATGAAACAAATATATTTTAGTAAAACAGTGCAAGCCAAAAATAAGGTCATAGATCAAGAATTTAACATTTTTTTAAAAACTGTCAGTTCTCTTTCTGTTTAAACAAAACTATTTGATATTGTGAAAAATAATAAAAAACAACTTTACACAATGTCAAATGACCATGATGTGCTTTCTCTCATTATGCTTGTAAACTCTTCTACCAGTTCTGCAAAGCATTCATAGATTGTTGGAAATCTT